CGGAGGAGGCGGCCGCGCTGCGAGGCCGCCAGAGCGGGATGCCCCCGCCGCGGTTTGTGCCCGCAGAGCCGGGCCAGGCTGCGCTCCTCTCCCCCGGCAGCCCAAGCCACGCAGGGTCACCTTCCGTTTCCCTGTCCTCCTCCTAGGGCTCTGGCCAAGTTTTGCGGTCGCCAGCGAGAAGCTGGGCACCCGGAGGGTGCCGTGAGGGAGCCGCGCTCGCTGGGTGCGTTAGGGTTACGGTACAGCCTCCAGTGGGCTCCTGCCGTCCCGCCTGCTGGCATTGTGCTGCCCGGCCAGAACAGACGTACGTTACCCAAAGAACAGTGACAAGGAACCCAGTGACAAGAAAGCAGAAGGGAAGACAAGCTTACCGGGAAGTTCAGGAGGAACAGACATGAACAGGGAGGCTAGGTGCAGATTAAAAACCCACCCCAGTCTCAGAAGGCTGATACCAGGATGGCTGAAGAGGTCTGAGAAACCAACACTAATGCAGAAAACATCCAGGCCAAATTGAGCTGCCCTTCAATGTGCCACCCCGCCCAAATTCATGCCACTTTTATTTATTAAAGCTTCTGTCTGACAGATACTCCCAGCGGATATATGGAGAGAAAAAAATGAAGGAGTAATCCATGACTGAAGTTTAGCATTCTCAGAATGGCTTTTGCTGCCAGCAGCTAATGAATGCAGGGTAAGAGATGAAAGTGCAACCATTGGGTATGGCTTTGCCCTGCCAGAATGGACAGTGTGCTCCAAACACACTGCATGAACTGATTATAACAGGCTGATTTCTTCCCTCTCGATGGAGCAATGGGTGACTCAGGGAGCAGACTGATGAGTGCATGACCAGGTTTTTCAGCTATGAAACACCTTCATCAGCTGTGAAGATGCTCAGAGGTTTTGTGCCCGTGAAGTACCTTGGGTTGGGATAAAAATTAGAATTGTTTCTTGCAAGGTAGTCTTGCATCTATTTCTCACCTCAGCCTTCAAAGAAATCAGGTCATCTCGTCTCCACAGAACGTATCAAACAGGACTGAACTGGGACAAGCCATCCTCTCCTCAAGCCATGATCAGCAAGCGCCCAGCTAGAAGCCCTCTCATACAGGCCCAGAGCTCCTTGGTTTCAGCTTGGGTTTGTGTTTGTCGTGATGTTCTAGGGCAAACTGCTACACTGAAGTGGAAAACAAGGCAACCTGTTGCCTCATCTGGACGGTTTCTGTCCCCAGCTGTTTACAAAGTTAACACATCAAATGACATCTGCCTTTCTGGCTTGCCCAGGCAGAAATTGCCCCTTCTCCTATTTTTATTCTTTTAAGACATTCTGCACAGATGAACGTATTCAATATAAGGGATGTAAATGGGCTAATCCAAATTTCCATAAACACATGGCGTATGGCTTACATTACCACTCGTTTTTTAAATAAACAAACACTCCTTCTGACTTATAATCTCATAATCAACAAGGAGTTTTAAGACTTTTACAACATGTCATAGCTGAAGTACCCTTTATTGTATACACACCTTAGTAACAGCGCAACCTCTGCTTTTAATATTCCAGAGACACTACACACAATCGTTAATGACAAGTCTGTTTAAACTGGCACTTCCCTGCTTTTTGAGAGCCGGGCGTTTGCTGCAGCACAGCATGGAACATGAAATTCTCTGAGGCGTATCTTCTCGCTTTCTTCACTGCCTGCAAGTTCCAACGATATCATCACTGAATTCTAAAGCCATTTCTGCGTATTTAAAAATGAAGTGTAGTAAACCAGAAGAAAGCAGTTCAGGGATATTTTGCCAGCCAGTAGATTTCTTCCTTAGCTCAGAAAGGTACTGAGACATCACCTCTTTCGTACCAGTTTCCCGCTAGCTTAGGTTCATGGAAAATTGTGCCATTCCACTGATCTGTTTTCCTGAAGAAAACGACATCATTCAAAGCATGTGAATTAAAGTTTTTAAAAAAGAAAACAGTGATAATTACCTCTTCATTCCTAACAATGTAAAAGGCAACCATAAATTCATGAAACAGCTACAAGAAAACTATTTACGGCAAGAAGTCCATGTGAAAGATTCTGGGTAATTATGAAGAGAGAAACAAACCAAAAGGAATTTAAAAAAACAAGGTTTGTGGGAGAAGGGGAAAAAAAAAAAAGTGGCTGAAATAGAAAAATGCAACTAAACAGAAAATATAAAAGGAAGAAAAACTAGGAAACCTGAAAAAGATCCCAAAATGGCACTGCACAGAGATTCGAGTGAGCAAGAGTCATGATGCGGCCAAAAAACAGATCAATGAAGTTTGCAAAAAGCATCATTTTATAGAGCACAAAGTTACTATTTCACCCTCTTCAGGGGTCTGGTTACCACCTCAGAATAAGATTTCCGTTTTGGATCGCTGATCCTGGGAGAATTTTGTATTGGATTTGGCTCAGCTGATCAGAACAAAGGCCATCAACTTCACAACATAATGATCATTACTAAGACATGTCTGAAATACCCAAACACATGCACCTTTCACAAATGAAGGTACAGGACTGAACAGTGGAAGGTTTTCAAGGATTTTCAAGGACACATTATTTGGCTTTGGTACTTTCAGACATCTCATATCTGATTTTTTTTTTTAAAGTTGACCCAGCATTAAAGGAATTGTATATTATCATAAAAACTTCACACACTTTGAATACACAAAGTAATGCAAATATTTATAAACTATTCTGAAAATTTAAGCTGCAGTTTAAATTAATCTTCACAATCATACTTTAATACATTACACAGTATCTTACAACCAAATACAACCTTCAGTTAAAATATTTGCAGTGTAAATGGATTTCACAGCTTCTGCTCCAACTCTGTGCATTTTTTGATTGACACTGATTAGCTGAAATTAATGAATCCTTTCAATGAATTCCACAGAAATCGTGTTTCCACCAGAAAGCAGAAAGTCTGGAATTACTTTCAGCATTTCTTAAAACCTGTGGCAGTGAGCAACCCACGAAGGTGCGCACAGACAGCTAGATTAAAAAAGGAATGTAACCCCCCGTATTTACACCTGTTAACAAAAATAACTTGGTTTTTAGAATGTCCAGATAACTTACTAAAAAATCACTTTCTGAAAAGCACAAGCAAATGAAAACAGGTTTAGAATAACATCTTTTCTACTCTAAAAGATTTTTTATGTATCTGATTTATTAAGTTTATAACATTGATTTATAATATTGTAATATTAAGTTTACAAGACTTTGCCATTTGTTTTCTGCCACCGATGATAAAACTCGGTATTTTATAACAGAGGGAACATTCAGTTCTTCAGACTCATTCCACTTTATTAACTCAGTTATTTTTTAAATTTTCATACAGAAGAATAGGAAAACCATCAGTTAACTGACTGTAACATAGCTTTAAAATTGTGTTATCACTTTAAAAAACAAACGGAAGAATTAGTTCTTATTTTACGTATCATCTGAGCTCATCATTATACTTCTTCATGCAGCAACTGTGCAGATTAAAAATATTCTTGAGCAATCTTGCATAACTTATAAATTGTTTCTCCATCTGAAGCTGGGAGACACCTCACGCACTGTTAAGAAAAAAAAAGACCATATTAGTTACAAACTAACACTTGGATGCTATATACAAACATTAGACTTTCTCAGACTTAACCTGGACATGCATATGTATGGCTATACACACGATTTTTTATTAAAACTATTGGAATACTTTCCTTCAGGCCAGTGATGAGTTTTAACGGAAGGTGACATACATTAACTGTTTCACAATGTAACCTAGCAATATGAAGAATGATTAACAAAAAAGGGTTCAATAATCCTACAGTTATTTAGAGTTCAGAGTATTAAAATTTCTAGATACTAAGAAATCTGATGTTGCAGAGCACTTATTGCATTTTCTGAAATTTGTGAACTTCAGAAAAAAAATCCATGCTGCTGAATTATTTTCATCTCTTCTCCAGCTGTGTTTTAAGAATGAGAAGCAATGACCAAGATATTCGTACCCAAACATGGGAGAAAGCTTACATGCACATGTTATGCCATGCTCCTGTATAGCAGACATAATTTTTCTGTTTTAAGTGAGAAAAGCCAATCTGTAAAGGCAGTATCACTCCTAACTGAAGTTATGAAAGTTGCGCACCAACACAAACTGCAATCCCTACAAAGAAGTGGTGAATTGATGACTGCAGCAGACAGCACACGGCCATAATTTGCATTGAGTAACTCTTGTGTTAGGTTTTAACATGCCTGTCACATTCATTACCGATAGTGACAACATGCTTCTCTGGAAAAATATTTTGTGACTATTAAGCAGTGTTATGACTGCAACTTAAGTCTTCCACAAGGAGAACAAAACTTGAAATACTGCAACTCAGACTATGCGGAAAGGACATCGTATCAAAAGTAAATGAACAAGTTCTATGAGAAAGCAAGCATTTGTACGCTACGTGCTCAGAACCAACAGAATCCATTTTCCTTAACTGATGTCCTTACTTTGAACTGAAAAAGTGACACAGATCAAGTGTGGGATCACAGATCTGGGTCTAAGCTTGTGTTTAACAATTTAGCAACTGTTTCCACACTGCAGAGATCAGCACAGAAAAAACCCAAGGGTTCTGAGGAGATTACTTTCCTCCTCCTCTGTGAACGCAAATTGAAGAGTGCAACACAAAACCAACCAAAAAACTTTAGAGAGCAGTTCCTGTGCTTTGTGTAAAGCAGGAGCACACAGCTGAATCAAGAACCACCAGCTGGAGCAGAAGAGCCACAGCAATTCATCTGATTAGTATCTCCTCTAGTTATTTAAGTGTTCTAATTTCAAGCAGTTGCTACTTTGCAAACAGATATCTGACTGACACCCCGTATCTGCTGTCTCTTCAAAATTCAAAGGCAATTTCTGAGGAAAACTGAACTATTTTTGTCCAGCAAGCAGGAAAAGGGTGTTTTGGGAAAAAATAACAAACAACGAAACACACAAAAAACCCCCTTGGCCTAAGAGATGAAAGTCACTACCTCACTCAAATTAATTCCTGGACATTTAAGATACGCACAGTCTTTTGTAGGGAAGACTGCAAGCCTACCTTTAAAGAGAAACTTAATTTATCCACTACTTCACCGCAACAGAAAATGCTGTTGCTTGAGCTACTTTGGCAGTGAAAGGAAGGGATAAATAGCCAACAGCATCTGATACCCCAGAGGAATCTTGTAGAGCCAAACTGGGGAAATGTGTCGGTCAATAATGTCTGTTAATACCAAGAACTGAGATCATGTTTAAAAGCTGGTGCACTAAGTATTATGCTGGTAAGCTTCCACGGCATTCTGCACAAAATATGCTTAAGACTTCATCTTCTGAACTTCAGCATTGATTGTATTTGTGTGACTCGAGTCTATCTTCTTTGAATAAAACCCAGGCCATTATTATTACAAAAATTAAGTCTCAATTGTTCAAACAGTTAGTACCTAGTAGCTGGTTTCTCATTAAGATAAACAGAAGGTCTAAGTTGGAAAAAATACACTCATTTCATATTGTTATTCAGGTTGGCAAATGCTGAAAACTTCAAACAGTTGTAAATATTCCTGCAATTATTTACTCATGAGGTAGACAGTCCCAGGAGCAGTTATGTAATGTACAGAAAAATATGTTCCTTAGCTTCTGGCTGAATAACGTTTCCACCTGCTCCTGCCATTACAGAGATAGAATACTTCACTTGGTCCACTAAAAGTAAAAGCACAACGTAAAAACAGTAAACTAAATATAGTTGCTCTACTTAAGTACTGTACTCGTCAGAAATTGTAAAAAAGTGTGACTTTAACCATCTCTAGAACACAAACATTTTAGAAAATACCCAAAGGTATAAATGCCAGCATCAGGAATGTATTCCATGGTATGTTTTACATAAAAATTTAAAGGTATATGCAACCCAGTAATCTGTGCTCTAAGCATGTCACAAATACTTTATAAAATATTTTCTAAAGGTTTGGAAATACTGTATAATCATAGGCTTCTTGTATATAATTCTACCTCAAATTGTCTGAAGGACAGCTACTGCAACTAATTGCAGTTTTGTTTTCTTTTCCCCAGGAAATAATGCACTAAAATATAATGACAGTACATAGAAAATCAAAATGAAACTGACGCTCCTTCCACCCCTCCATCCACAACTTACACACTTTCCCTTCTTTTTCCAGCTTTTTCAAGTGGACCAGGAGGTTACTTTCTGCTGCTAGAAGTAAATTTTCAGGGATCTCCTAATGGGAACACAAATATGCATTTTGTTATTTGTTTAAACACATCCCAATTATTTTGTCAATATACGGAACTCATGGTTCATTAACATAGATTTTGCTCTTCCAAATGGCTATGTTGAACATTCAGTTAGTTATATAGTGACAACAAACTGAAATGAGTAGACCAGTTTTACACCAGTTAAACTAGCAGCCTAGTAGCACAGTTTTTTGCATTATCCATTTGTATTATGCAAACTTGGGCCAACACTAAGAAGATGGTGCTCTTCTGAGCTTTGTCTGCACTGGGTTGTCAGTGTAGCTGAGCATTTTTAAAGACAAATTTAAAGATGCATTTCTCCACAGATACATAACATGTCTATTCCACGACAATATTTGCATGGGTTTAAATATCCTTTAACAATTTGTATCTGTAACAATTTAAAAATACAACAGCTTCAGAGGGACAAAACGTCCTTCAAAATTTTCCAATGCTCATTAGGTAAAAACCAATAATATTTCTCAAATCCCCCTCTCCAGCTCTATCATCCTAAAAGTAAAGCCCTCTTTTTGAAAATTACAATGTTCTTCTCCAAATAACATGAGTCTGGCAGGAAAATTCACTGGAAAACTAGCTCAAGAAATTGTGAATATTTAAAAAGTTTTAAATGTTACACTTTTAAAAAAAAAGTGGAAGCTTTAGTAATACTGAAAAAACTCTTACCACATAGTGACAGGCCAAGTAGTTTGTGATTTACAGACACATGTGAATGGACACATACTGAAAAACTGTAGCTGTTCAGGCAGGAAAACTGTGGGAGCTCAACAGCCATAAGCAACAGTACAGCAGCATTGCAAAATGTACGATGTGATGAAGTTACTCTTATGGAATCTGGGGATCAGCAGAACCGTCAAAAACGAGCTGTGAAGCTGTTACAGACCTGTCTCCACAAAGCACAGCCCCTGGCAACTTTGACATCTTCCTCTGCAGCAAAGGCTGTTTCTCTCTGATCTCTGCGAGGAGGGGTAACCCGCACACCACGTGTACACATTACTGAGGTTACATGAAGAACGATGAAGCAGAGAACAAGGACCCTTATGCTTGTCTAATGACACATGCAAGCTGCCCAGCTTCTGAGCACAAGATCCATCTCTGTGGAACTCCAGTTCACCTCCCCCCTTCTGCAGATTGATAAATCAGGAACTAGAAGTTTTAATTAATCTTGCGGGAGACTCCAAACACATTCTGACAAAACAAAAATTAACAGCCATCTCGTTCTTTTCACTTAGAACCAGGCACCACAACTTTATTTTTGCTTAGTCCTATGAAACTGTGCTTATGACCACCTAGATAGCGAAACAGGAAGTTTGTCTGGGCCCCTCTCCAACGAAGTGCTCAGGCAATACAATTTAAATGCACAGTCATGTATGAATGCTGAACAAGCAGAAGTCTTTTTTTTTTTTTTTTCTCTTTTAAAAACCCACCACGGTCTTCACTCAAATACTTAAACTGTTACATACAATTTTATGAATATAACCTCAATTTTCTTTAGTTTGATCTAAAAATTTTTAATCAACAATTACCTTGTATACTATCTTTACAAGCTCCGAGGATGTATATGATTTTCCAGCATTCTTCTGGAAAACATTTAGAATTTGCTGTTCACGTGCAATTCGGTGAGAAATGTAGCCTTGGATTCTAGCATTTGCATCACGTACTACTGGGCCATGACCTAAATCAAAACACAGGTACCAGAGCACTATTACTCAAATTTGGAATTAAGTATGCTATTGAATAATTCAATCATTTGTATGTAAACTCTGGTAGACTTAAAAGTCATAAGAAGAGAGAGCAGCACCTGTACATACCACCCTGTCAGAACATCCTTGATGTTGAATTGCAAGACCCTTTTTTGCATGTTTTTTCCAAGCTCTGCCAGTCTAAACTCCAAGTAATTTATCAAGCGGGTAGAACAGAACCTACTGTAAAAAAACATAGCTTGCTTTAGAAGTTATTGGGTGTCATCCAAACCAGTCCGTTTCTTTTGAGGCTCTCTGATGACTGAAAAAAAAAAACCCTCATATTCAGTACTTGTACTTTTGGGCTAACTGACTAAATGGGTTTTTAGTTTCAAGGCTTTTTAAATTAGAGCTTAGTTTGGCTAAGGACAGGTAGCTTATAGAAAAAGAGCAACTAATTTTTCATGTTTTGAGTATCTGTGAAATAAAAAAGTGTCACAGGAATCTACCCTTCAGCAAGACAAAACATTTATGCGTATCTCAACTTATACACTCCAGCAAATTTTACATTACTAAATGCGCACTGGAGCTTACGTTGTGTAAAGACAGTACTATAAATAAAAGATACATAACATGTAGATATAGAACTATACTGTCATACACAGATATATTTAATGATTTCAAACGTATTTAATCCAAAGCTATTGTTCCTTACACAATAAAGTACAAATATAACAGTATCTCTAGTAAATAAGTTACCATTAATAAAAAGAAAAGTTCAAATTTAGCAAGAACACATTAAGATATACAAAGCAGAGACTATAACGGTAACTGTCCGTTCTCTTGCACTCTCTAATGACAGACGTCAGATTAAAGTACTCCAAATCAAGGCCTGCACATGGAATCACAAGGCAGTCTTAAAATTAGTCCCTGCTCTTCCAAGTGATTTAATTGACTATGACTACAAGACCAATGTCAGTACCTGGAATGGAACCCGCATTTTGCAAAGTTAAAGGCATTTCACATCTGTTATGTCATCTGATCCATAGCCATTGTATGTGCATATACATACATTAAAACGACATCAGAAAGCTTGGAACTAAATCCAGATGTGGAGCTTTCCCATCCATAATTTTTCAGGGACAGCAACACAGTTAACTTCACCAATAAACAAACTAATATCTGCATAAATGTAAAATGCTTCTGAGCATGTGAAATAGATCTCTCAAAATGTGACCATCTTTCCAATAATTCAGACTTTATATCAGATATCTTCATATTCTTTCAGACTTCTGTATAGCCCAGATGATCAGAAACAGTAAGTTTTTATTCTCATAACACCTGTAAAGTAATACAGATTCTCTTACTTTACAGTAAATTAAAGCACAAAGGACAAAACTGAAGGAAATAACTGGTTCATTAAATCTTGCACAGATGCCTAAGTCCAGTACCACTGTTTTCTGTATTAGCAAGGAACATCGTTTACTAATACAGGATGGGGAGCCCTCTGCTGACTAAAATGCCCTTTTCTGGTCACAAGGATTCTCATCGACTATTGACTGTGAATAGGCTGTCATGAGTATTCTGCCTGAAGTTATTTCCACATTAAATTAAAAAGAGACACATGGAAGGGGAAGGATTGGCAAAATTCAGCTACTCACACCTAGTCAGCAGTCAAGTTGTTCAAGAATTCATGCTCCCATACATCTAAATTTGAGGCTGCAATGAGAGTGCTGCAGCATGGATGGGAAACAGAGAATCAGTTCAAGAATTACAAAGACCTAAAACTGCAATAAAATCAAAGTAGTAGCTTATATAGAACGTGTCGGTAAAGCAAACTACCTTCTGCTTTAGCTGCCGTTTTACTGTAGTATATGCCAATAGCATGAACAATTGTTCCGACTGGGCAACAGATACCTCTCACACAATTGCACGTATGTTTTGTGATGCATGGATAAAAGAGGAAATTTAGTTCCAAATATCTCAATACCTAGCGACTCGTCACTGAAAATGCATAATATCCCACTGGCTTCCTAACTGCAAGGGCAACATGAACACAGAACAGTGAGCAAACCGCTACAGATACATGGCACAAATATCAAACCTTGGTGAATGTGTAATCTCGATAGATAATGATTAAGGAGAGAGTGCAATACAACAGATAAAATCAATAAATCCAACAGAATTTGGCATATACGGGGTTTTGGAAGGCAGAAATTCAATTATAGGAACAGACTGTGTTTTGCAGGTAATTAAGAAACAAAGTAGAACATTCGATTCATCAATACATTGAGATTCCGGAAGCTGAAATATTCTTAGTTTTACCAGTACTTAAGTCAATAACTATGAGCAAGTCACTATTTCTGTCTATGTCAGCCTCCACATCCATGGAATATCTATAATGGTATTTTTCTTAAATAGCATTTTTATGCTTAGATCTTAAAGCACGTAAAGAACACTTACTTCAAAAGAAGTGTATTTTAAGAATGAACACAAAAGAGATTTTATTATGTAGGCTAAACATAGATGGTAAATGAAGGAAGACAGAACTGAGAATGTAGACACAGTCACTCAGAATGACAAGTTCAAGAAGATAAAACAGAAAAAGTCAGAAAAAATCCTGAGACGTAGCTCTGAAAAAGCAAATGAGGAGCTTAAACCTTAGTTACAGAATGAATTCTTAAAATCCAGTCTTGTCAAATAAGCACCTGGTTTATCTGAAAAGCAAATGTATTCCCTAGGTTTGGGGGAGATCAAGGAATAAAAATAAAGCAGTGTCACTGAATGAATCAGCAACTTATTTTTAGAACATGACGTTCGGCTCTTGTTCAAATTTAAGCCAAGTCATTAACTAAGACAACCATGTGACAGTTCTGCAGCTTTCCACGATGAATTTGTGATTAATCCGTGCTGCAAAGGACAGATACCTCTCACAAAAAACATTACTAGGTTACTCACATTGGCAGCGCACGTGGGGATGCAACAGACCAGAAGAACAACTACTACTTTTTTCTTCCAGGTTAACATAAGGCACATGGATACAGTAATACAAGAAAACTAAATTTGCTGTATGATTCCAACAGTAAAAGATTCTGGCCTCTGTAGGCTTTGGGCACAAGATTTACCCTCAAATGGAGAAACCTCAGGAAGGAAAGATATCTACCACTGAAAAATTCTCAAGTCTTGCAAACCACCATACCATAAAGTCTCTTAGCTTAGCACGGGACATACATTAAGTAATGAACTTGAATTGCTACATTAGTAATGGTGTTTGATTTTAACAAGAGTTCTCAAACTCTTAGAGAAGGTATTTAAAAATTATATAGTAAAACAGAGCAGTTGAAAACAGAACCACTTACCTGGGTATATTAAATCTAGTTTCATTTGTAACAACCTTTTCAAAGTTTTCATGTAATCATACATGTCTTCAATTACTGTTGTTCCTTCCCCTAAAATACAGTCACCGGAAAACACGGCATTTTCTTCTTCTAGGTGTAAAGCCATGTGATCATCAGTGTGTCCAGGCGTATATAAAACTCTGTTTAAAGAGCAACAAAAAAGTGTGTTTCATACAGCACCTATGTATCATTTTCAGAAGCCAGAAAAAAATGATAAAATCATACACTTACAACGTAGCCCATAAGACCCAGAAAAAATAAAATGAACCAAAAAAGGCTGAAATGTTGATGTAAACAGGGTATCACTTTGTTTAATCCCAGTCTATTGTCTTATACCATGTAGAGAACATAGATTATCATCTCTAACATGTTTTACTTACAGCACACATCATAACAGAAGTGCATTAAAGGAGCTGGCTAGTCATGCAGAATTTGTGTTACAGAGGGCTTTACTCTGAAGCTTTAAAAAAGAAAAATTGACACATTATTTCCAGATTGAAATGTGTGAAGCTCTCGACATACACCTTGCACTTAGCAAAAGAGGGTAAGGATGATGTTGACAATTCTTTTAGAAACTAACTTATGAACTTCTGGACCCAACACAGACAAAGTTCTGTCTCCCAAAATTTATTTTTCCCTGAAAGCCCCGTGACATGGTGGAGCAGAGCTGTCAAATACCACAAGGAACCATCATCTTTTAGCTGTTCTATGTGCAGATCATTAAACACCTGAATGGTAAGGATTTAGGACCCCACAGCTTGAATGAGTCCTGCATTAGAACGCAGCAAAGGGTGAGCCATCAGTTCATAGGCATATGGTAACCTCGGCTGCTAAGGAGCTGCGCTGCAGTGTCCTTTCAGAAAGGCAGAAGGCCTCATACTGAGGCTGATTCAAACTGAAAGTAACACAACTCAGACCAGCACCACTGCTGAAAGTCATCAGAATCTTCTTGTTGATGGCAGATGCAGCAAAGCAGTGATCAGGAACTGACAGCGCTGGTGCCAAGCAGGGCATACAGGCCAATGCTGAACAGCACCTGGCCACGTCAGCGCAGGGCCGGGAGGCCAGAAGCACAGCGCCATCTGATGCAACGGCTTCCAGCTCTGACTCAATACTGAGTTCAGCAGAAAGCGTGTGAGCCATTGTCCTGCAGAGGTGGCACCATAAAAATCAAGTTGATGGGCTGCATCCTGCCTTTGCAGGAAGTGGTATCCTCCAGTTCTTGATGAAACTTTACCCGGAAGCTTAACCACTAACATGGAAAAACAAAGGGAAAAGAACCCAACACTGCCTGGCATACCTTGAAATCTTAAAGGCTGCTAACTAAAATGTAACATGCAGATACTGTTGTTCTGGAACCAGCGGTGGATCTAAGAGTATCCTTAAAGTGCTTCCTGAACAATACTTGCTTTTAACCACGCATGAAGTTTGGCTGCATTACCCTAAGCTTCAAAATGTGCCACCCCTGTCTTACTTGGATTCAAATTTAACAAGTTGTTTTCCATCTATTTTGCCCAAACATGGGCCACTTAGGGTAGTGGCAGTCTTCAGTATTCAATATAACACTCTCCATCTATTTATTTTTTTTTTTACACTGCAAAGTAAAATTTTGGTCAAATATATACTTTATTTTTTACATTTTTTCTTCCAACTAGCCAGCTGGCATATCCTACAAGTAGGACAGAATTCACATCTGAACTGAGGAAAACAAGCAAAATTTGTCCTTAGAAGAGTAATGCCTTGTTAATGAAAGAACTCTGGAGACAGAACGGTCAGATCTTGGTGGGGGGTGTGGGGGGTGTGGGGGCAGAGTAGCTTTCTGTTTCAGACTCACTTAAGCTAACAAGACAGGCAATATGCTCTCTGGGAAGAAGCCCTCCCAAATTGGCACCCTACAAGGACATGTCAGGTTAAAGGTTTAAAATTTAACATTTTAAGTATTAAATGTTTTAGTGTCTCCTTGGGAAATACTTTTAAAGTAAAAAGAAAGGAATGCTAAACAAGCCATCCAGACCACCATAAAGTTCCCCAAAAGTATCCATTTCAGCAAAACTACTTAACTAAGGGCGATGACAAAGTATGTAAAATCCTATTTAATTTTCCCTGGAGGAAATGTTCTTCAAGGGAAATGTTCTTAATTTCTCTGCTGAGGCCAAAAACCAAAGGCTAATTCCTGACGATCCTCATTCAGAAAAAAAAATTTCTTCATAGAAACATACCCTGCTGGATCACGACAGAAGTCTACATGTGTAAGTGTTGAAAAGATACCAACCACTACAAGTTAGGATTCAATTATGTGTCAGAATTTTGAAGAAAAATGTGATCCAGCAAACTTGCAGAAGTTGGTGTTTACCTGAGTGTGGCTCCCTCTGTCTGTATCACATCTCCCTCTTTAAGATAAAAATATTTATGTCCTCCTTCTATTATTTCTTCACGGGGAGGGACACGAGGAAGCTTACAGATGCGATATTCAGAGTCTATTTCAAGAAAGCAAAGAAAATGATATTTTGAATTTGTCACTAACAAAGCTACTTTTTGAACAAGTACTATTAATTATTACACAGTATGAATACAAAACCAGAAACAGGAAATTCCGTATAGTAACTTTATGTTTATAAAGCAACCTTATTTCGGAGCCACAAACACCAAATAGTGAAAGCCTCTGAATACTGTACGCTGTACCAGCAGCAATTTTGAAGATGAAAAAGCACAAAGAGAATTGATAAAGAAATGACAGTAATTATTGTATTTTAGAAATGTTCCTTCTTGACTCATCAAGAGCAAAAAACTCCCAAGTTTCTACAACACTAAGACTTCTGCACTGTGGTTCACAGAAGCACCATTCAACATTTGCCTAACACTGGATGGAGGCTTTTTGACCTGTGACTTTCCTCAGCGTCTACTGTTCTGAAATGTGCATGGACTGTGAATGCCTTGGCTGGACCAGCTACAAAGCAACCCAGAAAGGTATTTACATCCCTCATTAGTCTTCACAATCATGCTCATGGGTTGACAAGAGCAAAATCCTCACAAAGACACCAATGTTGTTTTCAGTAGTGCCCAGGCTTCTTTGCAGGTAAGCGCCTGGCAACTTCACCAAAATCTGATACAGCTGTGACAAAGCCTATGATGAAGTCCAATGATGCCAAGAACCGCACAGTCCATACTACTTATTCTCTTCCCAGATAGTAAGAGACAGCAAGTTTATCAACATGAAATACACATTTTTAGATCAGAATTTACCTGCAGACTGCCCTACCCTCTTTCCATTTGTGATCTGAGGCCTATGAATCTGTCAGCAATTACTAATGGTCTGCTGTAAGGAATCTCAAAGTTATGCATGTTTCTTTCTCAGAGATTCAATTATTTATTGTTTTTACACAAGCAAAAGTAATGGTCAATTTGTCTTTGCTGTCAATGCAGAAAGGAACTAGTACCGGTTTTCTCACATCTCTTAATATGTTAACTGCTGATGGTAACCTAGGTTCTCATTATTCACACGTAAGAAAAATTCACTATGAAGGTATGCACAGGTATTGAAGAAAACTAGTACTACAGCTACAATATTCAGATTATTCTTTGCTTTCATTCTACACACTGCACCAGTATCACAAAATTACACGTAGTTTACACGGATACTCCAGAAGAATAATCCATTTGATTTCATAGAGTCATAGAATAGTTTGGGTTCGAAGTGATCTTAAAGACCATCTAGTTCCAACCTCCCTGC